ACCCTTAGCATTTTTGCAAAATTTATGAGGCTTTCCTCCACCGACACGAAACAAATAACAGACTTGCGTACAAATTAAGGCAGTATACAAAATACAGACATCTAAAGCCATTCACAGTGGTATAATCAAAAAAGAATAACCAAAAGTTGACACATCATATAACGCCCCCAATTTTGGGTACGTTAAATAGACATTTTTATTGAAATTAAAACAGAGTTTGACTCGTTATTACATCATAATTCTCTCAAGAGTACATTTATTTAGACAAGGAAGGGAACTAGGGTTCCTAATTACAGCTCCGCCTGCTATTCCATCCTAGCCAGCTTCGAAAGCCTCTAAGGTGTACAGCTCACCATGTTCATCTATAAGGTCTGACACATTATACCAGCGTCGCCACCAATATAATATGTCAGGGTCACCAAAGGGCAACACCGTGAGCTACAAAAGCTCAATAGAAAAATCCATACCCACTAACCCTTAACTTACAACAAAAGGCATATAGACAATTACACATGCTCATTCAACAACGTAGTCAACAATTACACATCCACATTCAATATCATACTAACGTTGGTGTCCATGATTCTCTGTGTTTCTCTTACGCAGCATTTCGTAAACCGTGTCACCATTTTACCCTTCATTAGCCAAATCAACATTTCAAAAATCGTTTTTAACACACCCAACCTCGGTTCTGCCGTTCCGGTTTCCCGAGTATCCTCACAATGGTTCCGATGTCCCGGATTTCCATTGGCACATATTAGCATTGGCTCCTCTCCACGGATAACCAAGCCACACAACCAACCTCGGTTCTGCCGTTCCGGTCTCCCGAGTATCCTCACAATGGTTCTACTGTATCGGGTTCCCATTGGCACACAAAGCTTTGCATTGGCTCCTCTCCACGGATAACCAAGCCATACCTCGGTTCCGCCGCTCCGGGTTCCCAAGTATCCTCACCATGGTTCCGCCAATCCGGGTTCCCATGGGAACACACACACCACACAATGGGCTACCATATCCGACCACATTGCGGTTTTCAAAACACTTTCCTTTTTCCGAAACACACCTTGTCATTAACACACCTTAGGTGTCATGTTTCTACTTTCTCAATTTCTGTGTCTCGTTACATGCATAGACTCCACGGTAGGACTTTTCATGTAAGTAATCATAAATCATTCATTGTAATCTTGAAACTAAATTAGCAAGATCATCCAACTCTATATCACTTAGTCATATTCAAATCACACTTAAAGCATAACGCCACATGTACAGACGCCTTTGGAGTGGTAAACCACTTATGCTTTCTCATACAATCACAAGTAATTCAAGCAACACGTATACATGCTCATAACCATCTTAAAGATCAAAATACGAATACTTTCAATCACGTTTACGTTTCAAAAATTCGTTTTTTCTCCCTTTTAGGAAAGTTCAAAACAACACATGTTTTTCCGAAAAATAAAATCGGGATATACAACATACTCCCCTTCCTTTTCAAAACTTTAGTAAAACCTTTTCCAATTTCGCATGTGTTTCAATCCTACAAGCAACATACAATATACGTAGAGATAGTGGTTAAAGATTAATCTACAAGATCGTATTTTCATTTCAAGATTTTAGTAAAACAAGCTTGCTAGTTATTTCTAATACTTTACCTTGCCTTATCATAAGCAAACATAACTAAAGTTATACTAGGAAAAATGAGTAGAGATTAATCTACATTCATACCATACGTTATTTAGAGTTTAGGAGGAATAGGAAAATCCTACATATACTTAGAAATAGTAGATAGGGAAAATCTACATATACTTAGGACTAGAGAGTAAGATTAAACTACCGTTCTTCTTGGCGGTTGGTCGGTTTTGAGAATTGGTCGTCGGTTTTGCAAATCGGCGGCGTAACGGCTCCGGATTGCTTCGAAAGGATGAGAGATGGACTTTCTCTTCCTAGAAACAACTTTGCTAACTAAACTAAGCTACTTTAAAGATCTAGGGGTGGCTTGGTGGTAGCTCTCAAGAACTTCAAGAACTTGAACTTTGGAACAAGGAAATCTTAGAAATTCTAGAGAGAAGTGAGAGCAATGCTTGAAGGTGTGAGTTTAAGCTTGAATGAGCTTGCTATTTATAGGCCAAGCATGCCCTCTCTCTCCCTCTCATCCGAATCTTTCTCTCTCTATCTCTCTCTCCTATCTTGGATTTTTGTCATGCTTTGATTGAAAGCTCAAGGGTTTGCTTGCTCTTTTCTACCTAGTTCTAGGCTTGCATGGCTAGATTTAGTACTTTGGATTTGATTTGGAAAGATTTTGTGGAAGAAAGGAGGATGATACAAGGTTTTATATTGGCAATTGTACATATAAGGACAATGTGGATGGATTTTGCTTGAAGAAGTATATCACCATAGATTGTATTCAAGTCAAAGTACAATGGAAAGATCAAGACAAGGTACACACCAAATGTCCCCTTCTTTCTCTCTCTCTCTCTTGGCATTCCTCTCTCTCTCTCGGCAATTTCTCTCTCTCTCTCTCTCTCTCTCTCTCTCTCTCTCTACTAGTACTAGTACTTATGGAAGTATATATATATAAGTACATAAGGTACGATATAATCTAATAGATTTTCAAATATAAAGATTTTCTAATAAACAATTCTATTAAACACATGTGTACTATAAGTACTATGCAATCTAGGTAGATTTTCAAATCAAAATTCCTTATTAAAATAGTCCAAATTGGCACATGTTCTTTTAGTTTATAATATCAAAGTACTTTTGAATCTTTGGTACAAAATCCATGGTATATATATATATATATATATATCTAGTATATAATCACATGGTGAATCTAGAAAATGACTAAATTAATAAATCCTAGTACTTGTTGGAAGACTAACTCTATTATCCAATGGGTAATATTTTTCTTAACATTTATTGACCAATGGTTAAAGAAGCAAAGTAATATATACTTGAATAATATATATATGTACTTTAGGCATGTGTATATATGTCTATATATAAATATATTTATATATATGTACCTTTAACAAAATCTAATTAAGTACTTTTGGTAGAAATCTAGGTTTTTCTATTGTCCAATGGATAAAGATTTCCCTAATTTTTATCGTCCAACGGGTAAAGGTCAAAGATGATAAGTATGACTTGGATTGACTAATCATATATATATATATATATGTGTATGTATATGTATCTAATAATAACAATCTAGGTCCAAAAGGTTTCATTAGGGTTAGGAGAAAGTAACTAGGTGAATTGGTAGTTAGGTTTCTCAAAGATTGGTTGGAATCTAACTAGATTTGCCAAGTAGGATTTCTAGCCAAGAAATATAATTCTAAGACTTCTGCTTAATGATTAGAAGAATATACTAGACACTTGTCTTTAGAAAATGAATAGATTGCTCGGAGTGAAGAAAATCTAATTATGACGGATTATCTAAAAAGCGATTCAAGATTTCATAAAAGATTTTCGAATAAAATAACGAGATTTTTATTTGCTAAAAATCGGAGTTGTTACACATCAACTTTTGATTATTCACTTAAGAGGTTACTAAGCTTAACAATGTTGAGCTTCACAATGGTCACTTCTAGTCCATAACCAAAATAAGAGTTTACTACCATCTCCCCCCCCCCCTCTATTTCCTGCCATTCACTTCCTTTCATTTACGTTTTTTTTTGCAAAAATATATCGATTCTCTCTCTTAATTTTGGAAAAAAATCGGTGATTTTCTTCCCTCTTATTATGAATTTTTTTTGGGGGAAAAAAATAGAAAACGGGAAAGAAGAGTGAAATACCTTAATCTGGTTTGAATTGTAGATGATCGAGAGATATGAGTTTCACTTTTTGAAGATAAGAAAGAGAAAGAGTTTATGGGTGAAGTGAAGAAGATATATAGTAGGCGAAGAAAAGAAGAAGAAAATACCAATTGAAACACGCGTGTATACAAATTTTGGAACTAGTTAACTTATGTGGTGTGGAGTCCACAAGTTTTGATTATTGAAAAAGATTGCTAGTTTTGATTATCCAAAACCCAAAATTTGATTATTTCTAAGGATGTTGCTAAATTTGATTATATCATTATGAGAGCATCCGCAATGGTAATAATCAAAATCAATAACCAAAATGTGTCACGTCAGCATTTAATTATCCATTTAGTCCATAATCAAATTTAACAACCTCTACCTCCACATTGGTTATTTTTGCAACCCTAACAAAAAAAAAAAAAAACCCTCACAATACACAATGCACATTTGTCCAATAGTAAACGAGTTCCAATCACGCATCCAACCACACCAAAGTATTTGTCTCAATGAGACGATTTCAATGTGGAGTGTTTTTGAGTTATTGAATTTGATTATTGAGTTTTGGTTATTGGTAAAAATTGTTAAGTTTGGTTATGGAATAGTTGAAATTTGGTTATTTGTTAAAAGACTTGTAACTTTGCTTATTACAATGTGGGGTATTTTTTTTAGTATTGTTGTTAAATTTGCTTATTACAATGGGGATGCTCTGAGCCATTTTTTGCACCAACATTGTTAACTTTAAAAATAATTGACTTTTGATTATACCACTATGAATGGTCAAGAGCATCTCCATTGTAATAAATAAATGGACATAGATAAACAAATTTAACAATAATGCTCAAAAAATATCCCACATTGTAATAAGCAAAGTTACAAATCTTTTAGCAAATAACCAAATTCCACTCATTCAATAACCAAACTTAACAACTAAAACTCAATAACTCAAAAACACCCTAAATTGGAATCGTCTAATCGAGACGAATAATTTGGTGTGGTCGGGTGCGTGATTGGAACTCGTTTGCGATTGGACAAATGTACATTGTGTATTGTGGGGGTTTTTTTTTGTTAGGGATGCAAAAATAACCAATGTGGAGGTAGAGGTTGTTAAATTTGATTATGGATTAAATGGATAATCAAATACTGATGTAGCACATTTTGATTATCGATTTTGATTATTACAGATGCTCTAAGCGTGCGTTTGTAGTCTAACGGTTAGGAAAATTGTCTTCCAAGCAATAGACTTGGGTTTGACTCCCGGCAAATGCATACTCCTTTTTCTTTCTACTGTACTACTCTTACTACTTCTCTTCTCTTCGTTTTTTTTATTTATTAAACTACCTTTACCTTTCTTCCTTTTGCTGTTAAGCCTATTATTACCTCTCTCTCTCTCTCTCTCTCTCTCTCTCTCTCTCTCTCTCTCTTCCTTGTCCACCAAACAATTTCTCAGCCAACAATTTAAAATCAAAATCATACTATGTAGCTTTGGTTATTTTTGAACAATATATAACTTTGGTTGATTATTTTATTTATATTTGAGGCCCTCAAACTAAGTCCAGAGATACAAGAAGAGTCACCTAAAAAAAAAAAAGGAACAGATAATCTAATGTGGATGGTGTGTCTATTGACTTTTGAGACACCCTCTATTTGTAGTGGTAGTTCTGTAGACACCCCAATTTGAACTTTTCAAATTTCCTTAATTTGTGGCCCTGAGGCTCCCCGATGATGAATTTGGATTGAAACAAGCCTCGTACCAATTGAGACTTTGCTTCTTGAAGGATTTGAAAAGGAAATAAAATGGTCAAAATCACTCCCAAGCGCTTGGAAGCAGTCCCAAGCGCTCAAAACTGTTTTTCAAAATCATTGCCCTGGCTCACTCCCGAGCGCTCGAGTCTTCTGTGCTGCCCAATGGATGGCAGGGCTTCCCACTATCCATGCAACTCATCATGACAACCATCTTGAGCCGGCTGAGATTTAAGTCAGCACTCAACCTCAGTCAGAGAAGATCAGGCCAGAAGATTTTCCTCTTAAAAAAAGGTTTTATTCAAATCCATTTCATTTTCAAAACCATAGGTTATATTCACTATATATATAGCCTGGTTTCAGCTGAGAAGAAAAAACCACGAAAATTCTCTCTCTAAACCCCCCCCCCCCTCCTCATCTCTCTCTCTCTTATTCAAAGCAAAGATTTTCAAACTCAAACTTGTTTTCCAACTTCAAAGGTTTTCAAAAGCATCAAGGAAAAGGCAAGAAATCCAGAACACTCCTAACTTCTGATTTCTTGTGTTCTCCTGCATTCACTTTCCAAAGACCATCCAAGAAGCAAAGCTCCAACCAAAGGTAGAAAATCTTTCTACTTTAATCTCAAACAAAGAGGCTGTTTTTCCCTTCTGAGGGGGGGTCTCTCAGCCTGTCCCAGCCTTTAATGCTCGGTGCATGGTTGGGAGACCTTAGTGTAAAAACAAGAGCAAAGGGTTCACAAAACGTTTTTCTCAAAACCCCTACTGGAAACACTCTCGAGCGCTCGAGAGTACTCCCGAGCGCTCGGGACTGTTTCCAGTTCCATGCATGGCATTTTGGTAAACAGCAGGCTGGGGGTGAGGTGCATTCTAAGATAAAAAGGTTTTATCGTGGCATGCAGACATAGAAAATCAGTTTTCCTAAAACAGAAACGTTTTTCACCCAGTTTTCAAGTAAGGATAAGATTTTCCAAAAGTTAAGAAGAAGATTTCCTCCTGGGAAAGATCAAAACAAGGGTGTTTGCATGTCAAGGTAGTGTCATTTCCTGCTTGAAAATTAGTTGACATGCAACTCACTCCCAAGCGCTCGAAACCATTCCCGAGCGCTCGGGAGTGCATGCATGCCACTGTAATCCGTTTCCCCCCCCCAGTTTGCTGTGTTGTCTGACTTTCTGCATGCATAGATGTGTCCATTTGCTCTTTTAAAGTTGTAGATCTGATCATGCAATGGCATGGATGCATGATTTGAAAGATTGAAGTTCTGTCTCAGTTTATCAAGTCATCTGTTGAGCCTGTAATGTGCTTAAAGTTATTTCAGTTTACAGTTTAGTATTATATCCTGTTGGTACTAACAAAATTTGCAGGTTGAATGTCAGCACTCCCAAGCGCTCGGGACCACTCCCGAGCGCTCGAGAGTGAACCCAGTGACAGGGTTTCATTTTCTGTTATCTTGTATATCATGCATGGCCATTTTATCACCCTCTGTACATATGCACCAGTATACACTTCTTATGTGTTATAACTGTGGATACTTGCTAGTTGGTTTAATGAAACAAAATCCCTCTTGAAAAATCCCACAAACGTTTAGTAGAGACCGACATCGCGTCGGGCGAGGGGGTGCCGTAAAACCCTTCCCCCCTCGTAACATGGCTTTCGAACCCTCAAAAATGATCTCTGGTTTTTAATTTCAACTCAATCATTTTCAAATCAAAAGCGGTTTCTCGGGTGGCGAACCATAAATCCGGGTGGCGACTCTTCAAACTTTTTCGATTCGATTAAAAAACGAGTGGTTTTTCGGGCCGCCCCGATCCACCCAGGGCTGTGGTAGCCCACAAGTTCCAAATTTTCCTATTCACCACATTTTTTTTGGGGGGGGGGGGGGGGGAGAATCGAATAGAATTGTATTCTACAAATTATTTCCTCACATTAATTTATAGGTTTTTACTCAGACGTGAGAGCATTGCTCAATTCGAAGTGCTCCCTATCTTCCTTGATGGAGTAACTTAAAGGAAAACTAAGTATGAGTAATTAAATTAAAGGAAAAGTTAACTATTTCGTACCAGTGAGTTAAAGGTAACACGCTTAGCCAAAAAAGAGAGTTCAAAGGAAGTGCATATTTGTAATGAGAAAAATGAACCGTCAGACTCTTGATGTATGAAACATATTTGAGAGATCATCTGATCGCGATTCTCATATCCACAGGTCTTTGTTTTTCAGAATGATTTATAAGTAGGAAGGGAGATCGCGTGCATCAATAATCCCTTTCACGCAATGAGACTCTAGTGATTCGGGAAATCGCGTGCATCAATAATTCCTTCCACTCGATAAGGCTCTAGTGAATCGAGCCCATGACATCTCGGCTCCAATTAGTGGTCGGTCAGAAAATGCTTCACTTATGTCTCTTGTACACCATTTGACATATATAGCAACCTGCGGATTGCAAAACATTTTCAAGAAGGAAAATATTTTCTTACCTGAGGGAGGAATAGATTCATGATCCTTAAGTAAATCTTTTTTTTTTTACAAAAGGGAGAAGATTTTATTAATTTGAGAGGCGGTAAAACGTCTAAACATCAGAGAGAGAGAGAGAGAGGAACCCCATGGGGGCAAGGTAGTTGTCCACAGACCGGACAAACTACAAGAAATGGCTTTCTTTGCACAAGCATGTGCAACCCTATTACAATCACGTTTGACAAGTCTATGAATTGATTGGTACCCTTCGACATGTAATTAAGTTGTAACCATGCAAAGCCGATGGGTACGTAGAAAATGAGCCTATATATATATATATAGTAGCAATTGGATTGGCACTGTACGTAGTTCCAACAAAATTGCTTAATTGTAAGCATAAATGTTAAAGGGGTTTCTCCAGCACCTTATATATCCACTCAACAATTATGATTCGTTAAGATGGACCTTCATGTCAGATTATACACATACATATATGTATTGTATATTGGAACTTACAAAGTAAGTGACCACTTTGCATTGATCGGGAGATCCCGACCCACAAAAAGATTGGACCTATCCCTGTGTAAGTTTATTATCACATATATATATGGTCGGATAGAGTTTCAATGTGCATGTCATTTTATGACCTAACACTCGATCTGCGAGCCGAATTTTATTTGGTACTGCATGTGTCCCTTGAAAATGCACAATCGAAACCATCCATTCTAACAAAAATTGGGTCGAGTTGGGTTGTCTCTTCTGGTGGAACGAGTTTTTGAACAACCCTGATAATCTGAATTTGTGATCCACGTGAAAAAATTCCTAGTTCATCCTGTCAGTTCTCGGGGATAGAAACACGAAACATCATTTACCATTTACATCATAGTATCATATACACTTCTGTATGGTTTTTATAACATTAGTAACAAAGCAAAGCTCAATGTTTGATGAAATGGAAAATGAACAAGAAGGTGGGCAAACCATTTACAAATGATCTCTCATATACCACTCCCATCCCTATGACTTTGCAATCCAACTCTTCAATATTTCAAGGACCATTTTAGAATGATATAGTGCACACTCTTTGACTTGATGATCAGTCTTGCAAATATTCAGTTCATCCTCCAACAATTTGTCCCACAACATGAAATTCTCAGAGCCCAAGAAGATAGAGAACATTGTTTGCAGTTTCGATTGGCATGCTGTCAATTCCTCCTGATTTCGGTCCCTCCCATTTTTGTTTCGGTCCCTCCCATTTTCATTTTGGTCAATAGCATCCATATTTTCCTCTGAGTTCACTTTTGACCATGGATTTTTTAATTCGGTTCTTTGTACCAAATTGTTGATGATCTAGCCAAGGTCTCGTGGCTCTTTTTTGCTGCAATTTTTGAGGATTTCGATTTCTTGGCCTCTTGATGTACTTGAGCAAATGCTTTTTCCCTCTTTGAAACCATTTATTTGCCAATTCAAATATGCCTGGATCATATGGAAAACCCTAAGTCAACAAGAACTCAAGAACGATCAAGAAGAGAGAGAGAGAGAGAGAGAGAGAGAGAGAGAGAGAGAGAGAATTGTAAACACCCCAATTTGGCCTAACGATTATTTCAAGTCCCACCTTGGGACAATCCCGATGATGAAATGGATACAATGATTGCTGATTGCTTCCTTGAGGACCTTAGGACTTTCGGTGAGAACTTTGACCACTTAGAGGACCCAATTCAAAGTCATACAGCCTTTCAGACAGAAATACGGAAGCCTAGGAGAATCCATCTTACGGCCGTAACATCAATCCCAAAGCCACAACATCAATCCCTCACCCGAGCAACCTGTTGCCAGCAAAATCTCCCTGAGAGATCAATCCCTCGGCCGCGAGATCTATCCTTCGGCCGAGACATCCATTCCACGGCCGCGACATCCTTTCCTCGGCCGCCAGATCGACCTTTTTCCAGACTCTGGAACGTTCTGTCAGACGTTTGGTTTGATCCAACTACACTACCTTTCCGATGCGTTCGGGCTACATTCGGAGATCACGACGTAGAGTTAGAGATGCATTGCAATTGCAATTGCCATCTCGTGATT